ATATCCGAAACCTAAATATCTTCTCAGCTTACGGACCAGGAGCTAGCAGTGCCTGGAATGTCATTTTTTCGTAACGACAGGGAAACTGGAATGGGGGTAGGGTGGCACTATACATACGATCATGCCTGGAGATGCACCAACTTCACAAACAAGAGTTTCTCAATCTTGATGAATCAGTATGGTGCTCAGTAAGATTGTCTACCATCTCAATATATCTAGTTGGGGTCATCTACAGGAAGCCCACTGCTGACATCGAGTATAACAATCGTTTGCTGGAAGTATTAACCCGCTCTACACGCCTCGGATTCTCTCATATCCTGATCCTAGGGGACTTCAATCTTCCTAGAATCTACTTCTCAGAACTTACCTACATTGGAGGTGACAACTGTACTGAAGCTCGGTTCTTCAACTTCATTGGTGATCTGGGACTATTCGAAAATGTGAACCCGGCAACTCGTTGGAGAAACAGTCAGACGCCATCGCGCTTAGAGTGAGTATTCACAAATGGAGAATTCTTAGTCGACGACCTGTCAATTCTGGCTCCCCTGGGGAAAAGCGATCACGTCATCCTATCCTTCAGTTTTTTCAGCAAAACTGAGCTAAGGCATCTCATCAGGAACTGAATTTCAAACGGTTGAATGTGTTAGCTTTAGATGACTATCTACAACAGGTGGATGTTCACCCTCAACTTGAAGTGGATGCTAATTGGGATTTCTCACTGCACACGCTACTAAGAATTCACCTCCTCAAATGGTCCAAAAAAGCTACAAACAACCTACAATCATCAAGAACCACACTCTTCATTTGCAAAACGCACTTCTGTGCTGAATATAAACGAACTGATAACAAAGGTGCGTACAGGCAACACAAACATATAAGGAACAAATGCACAAAGGAAATAAGAGAAAACAAGTTCCAGTACCAGAACATGCTTATCGACAAATTTGTCTCCGATCGGAAATGCTCATTCCGTTATGCAGCTTCTCTTCGACAAGGCAAAACTGAAGTTTCCCGAATGCTAGGTCACAATGGTCCGTTCAATAACGATGGTGATGCCGACAATCTCTTGGCTGAACAATACTCTCTGACATTTCAACCGACCCACATCAACTACATTAATGAAAGCTTCACCTGCACCTACACAGGACTTTCCGAAGTCCTGAGCTCTGACCTGGTGTTCCGTAAACTGCAGCACATAATAAAAGACACTTCTCCCGGTCCGGATATGGTGCATTCTGCTATACTGAGGGAAGCAGCTTCAATCCTGGCAACACCACTTAGCGTGATGTTTTCACACTCGCTAAGTCGCGGTAAACTACCGGATATTTGGAAGCTGGCTCACATCACACCAATTTTCAAAGGAGGTCGATGCAGTGAACCCTCAAGCTACTGACCAGTGGCCCTTCTCTCTATACGGTCTAAAATTATGGATTCCCTTATAGGCGATGGTATACACGAACACTTTTATCCCTAAAGTTCTTCTCACCCCAACAGCACGGTTTCAGAAAAGGTCACTCTTGTATAACCAACCTGCTGACTGTGGTCGATAGATGGACAAGCATCCATGATCGTAAGGGGAAGGTTGGCATAATTTATCTTGATTTATCAAAAGCTTTTGATAGGGTCAACCATATATATTTTATCAATAAGCTTAGACAATTTGGTATCACACCACCTCTAATTGACTTGCCCAATTCATATCTAGAAAACCAATATGTTAAGGTCAGGATAATCTTCACTTCCTATCAGGCTATGGAATGTACTGGTGGTGTCCTCCAGGGCTCAATACTAGGACTACTAGGAATAACTGAGACATCTTTAGTTGTGAGACCGATGTGATCTGGTACAGGAAACACTAAACTGGTGGTTCGTTCCTTGTTGTAACACTGTACATCACTTTAATGTTTTTATTTATTTTTCATATCATGGTATTAGTTTTGTACTCTCGTTTCTGCAACGCAGAACCTGACTTCCACGAGCACGGAGTGACATGATTGTATCCCCCCTTTTTCGCAGTAGTGAGGGTACTTCTGTGCGATTTTAATAGCTACGGTTCACCTGGTATGTCTACTGGGAATATTTCTGAACCTTATGTCACCCTGTGAAGGGCTGTCAATAAAAGTGGAGACTTGATGGATCGATAAAGTGAGGTCAGCCTTACCTCAACATTAGGTTGTGACAAGGCTCAGCAACATAAATATAGCTACATATGCAAGAGGTTATCGCTCAGTTAACCTTTGACGAGGGCTTTCTACAGCTCTTCTTATCAAAGCTTCCTGAATGGATGCAGGCGGTTCTTGTCTAGTTCGAGAATAACGCCGTGAGAAAACTGGCTGCATCTGCCGACTGGACTATATTTAGTGTAATACTAAAGCATAAACCTAATCATTGATGCTGCAAGATATCTGCACGAATTTACTGTTGTTCACTTTTATTGATTTTAGCTATTTAACGACCCTATTTGATAAACATACTGTAAGTCAACAAATGTATTTGGTAAATCATTCGTGTAAAGATGGCGTGTACCTTCCCTTGCAGAGATATATTATTATTGTCATGTTGGTTCTACTGGACACACACTTGGCTGACCTCACCAAACCAAGTATTTTTACTAGATTTGGCCTCATCAAAAAGCAGAACGCTTCATTCTATAAATAGTGCACTTAGATATTGCATGCCACAATTGATCTACCAATAAATGAAATGCACTTTTCACTCGTTTCAACAATGACTCATTCTTTCCCTGGCTTTGGAATCACTTAATAAGAAGGGATTCGAACTATGGCGCTGTCAAACCCTCCATACATAAAATCTAAAAGTCAGATCAATTTACTCAAATGAACAACATTCATCCATTCAATTCACACCCTCCGTTGTGGGCATTTAAAATATAGGATTGTAGCCTTTACCTAGTTTCAAGAGATGTTTTTATTATAATAAAATGATTGATCACTTAGTTAGGCCAATATGTTTGTGCACTCGTGTCATGATTCTGAAGAATATGGGGAGGCCATATGTGTAAAACAATGTGCTGTTAGACTGCCAATCTTGTCAAAAAACCCTTTTACAAAATAAACATTGGGTATAATTGTATGCATGCATATAAAGTTGATGGGAGAACCTTGCTTAATATCTCATAATTTCAAAATGAAATAAGTCCGAAATTCCAGCAACGAGTATGATAGTTTGAAGACGGTAAATAGTTGATGGTATAAATTATTCTCAAGTAAGGCAAAGCTTAACGCCTAACGATAGAAACTGCAGATTCTTGTATAATGAGTTTGTTAATAATTCCTACGGAAGACAAATAAAAGCATTGGTTACTCATGTGACAAATCATTTGCATTTGTGGGCAGAAGAAGTGAACAATTAAGTCCAAAGGTAGTCTGTAGTGAAGACAAACCGTCTGCCGTTTGATCATGATGCAGTTCGATTATGATACCGGACGGAGTGCCTTTAAAAATCGACAAAGTTAAATATGATGTCAACATTTTAGGAAACTGACTGGTTTGAGTGGTTTCTAACACAAAGAGAGATATTCAAATTCGAATGGCAAGCCCTACTGGGGGGATCTAGCGAACTGTTTTCTTCTGTCGACTTTCGTCCTACTGATAAGAGAGAAATCTTGACTCTTGGAAAGTAGAACTCTAACCACTGAGTTTCTGAAGCCGAACGGCAAGAGAAATAATCCAACAATCTTAAAAATAACTGTTGGATGACATTCACAATGACCAACCCTAATACTTTCAAAGCTCAACAGAGCTAGACATTCTATCCCTTGAGATCCAGCAATTGAGTTTGATGAAGAATTATCCGGATATCGAGAGACCAATAAATATCCCCTACAGGTTATTGAGGCAGAAGAGATGACCGAACTGGACGTCACAAAACGATTTTCCTTGTAAAAATAATGAAAATGAACTTCTAGCAGGTATTTTACAGTCAGTTGCATGAACTATGTCACAAGCGCATGAGACAAATAGAAGTCTATAACATAAATTTTCAACGAAGTAAACGTAATTCTGTCAAATGTTTTCTATAGAGCTGCTAAAAACAATGTTGAGCCACATTGAATTCATAGGGGTTGAATGAACAAAACATGATTAGACCGAACAATACTCAACTCTGCTATTCTGCTTGTTCTGTTAACGTCTGAAACGCTCTGCATAAGCGCCCTAACTATTATTTCCAGGAGGAGCTACGATTGATTATCAGCACGAATTCTTTTCCATACTTGTAATTTCTAAATATATGCTCTCTTTTGGAGTATTCTAGTACTAAAATGTCCTGGTGATCTCTTAGGATGCCAGGGATTATGAGAAATATTTTACAACATGATCACGCTCCATTGTTATCCATTTTTACTGAACAAGTTTCTTCCAACTTTCTTGAGTGAAGTTTGTTTTTTAATTTCAGTACCTTTGAGTTCCAATACTTTGCAAACATACTGAATTTGGGGGATTTATGGGGAAGGACTGGTTGTACTAGAGTAGAAAAGTACTCCCATTCTGGCTGATCAGCAGGTTTGTTTAGCAAGGTTTACGTGAGAGATGATCATTCTCTAAACTAGAATGCACGTGATCACCAAGCACGTAGGTGAGTGGGAAATAGGCTATAACTGTTCCAAATTTAAAGACCGTATTGGATACAGATATGACCACATTATCTTTCATTGAGAGTGTAGCTTACTTTTGGATATAGGACACTTATTGAAGTAGGAGGAAATTAAAGTAGACCTGAGGATCTATGCGATTCTAAGCTCCTCAGAATTTCCTTTCATTAGAGAGACTGAATATCGACGATGATTATGTCACCATTTGAAAACAAGTCTCAGCAGTCAGTGTACTGCGGTATTAAAGACTGAATGTAATTAAATTGTAATACATTAACTAGCATTTTGTAATAATTATAGAGGATTTGTATGGTTAAGGAATCCCAATTGTTAGTTGATTTATTTTCATGCCTCTGGTTTGAGATTTTCGGATCTCCATGTAAATTATATGCTGTCATATAATGTGTTAATATCAGATCGAGCTAAATATTTCTACTCCTTTATTTATGGAAACAGTCAACGATGGTAAGTGATAAGGTAATTATTTCATGAACAAAAAGCACTAACAAACGATTAATAAATACTTTGAAGTATGAATCAGACTTTAAAAAACATAGGTTTTGTTTTACTTTATCAAATTTCTTTTTATGGATACTCTTCAAGCGTCTTTTCGAGTATCCCGGGCTTTGGTGTGGTAGTTTAGTAAGCTTCTTTTTCGTCGTTTTGAGAGTGTATTTTACTTCGTTTGGTAACATGTATTTGACATTTGAGGATTTACGCAAATGTAATTTAAGGTTTTTTTGCTCAGTTATAACATTGAGCCAGATTATTTTGTTTGGTTACCACAACATTTTTTGGATTGATGAGTATGTAAGAAATATAAGTCGTTTTAACTCTCTGTTAGTATTCAGGACGAAAGATTTCTACCCTTTGATGAGTTCTGTCGAACATGGACTTCAAATGATCATCTAGATTCCACATGTAACTGGTGTCATGACTCTAGCCATTTCCAATATGCTTCTTTTTTCTTCCTTCCTTTTCAAAATTTTTCTCGATAAATAAATAATAAAGTGTTCATTCATAAAGTCTTACATCCCACTGAGGCCACTTCCACCGATAATGAATTTCATGGCACTTTGTTATTTAAGAGTACTTCATATTGTTGGATTACTGTTTGATAATATATTACATATGCGTACGTTGTAGTGCTCACTAAATGTGATAAAAGTTCTGCTGTTTTCATTTCTTGCGCTTTGTTTGAGACTAAGCTTTGCAGTAGGCATTTTCGTTATCCTTCCTATGGTAGCAATTACCACACTAGCACAATCTTCACTACATGCATTAAAATCCCCAGTAATGATACCTTGAGCACTTTTTAATGACAAGAAAAGATCTCTAGCTCTCTAGATCACTAGCTTTTTGTTATAACTGCCCAACAAACATATAATGAGAGTTAGTTTTCGAATATCTTATATATACACCGGGTGTTATACGTGGAACGACTTCCTACAACCATCATATTGAATTGGTTTCTAAGTAGAAAAGAGGGCATTTGGCTTTTCACAATGGTAAGCACAGTCAAATGTAAAAAATCTACACATGAATTTGTAAACTACTGATAAATAGTAGAAATAATGTAAGCGTAACATATTGCCAGATAAATACTTCTCTATATCCAAGATACCAAAAATGCCAGGAATAACATCAAATACAACAGTTTGCTGGGCTAGTTTTTTTTAAAATGTGAAACAATGAGAAAGCTTAAGTTATATTCAATTCCACTTTATTATGGTTAGTATTACATTTTTTGGATTTCAGAATGTAGTGTTAACGTTTCAAAACTATCTTTTATTCATAGACAATATAAGACTGCAAAATTTATTATCGACAATTGTCAGCGTTTTTGAAAATATTGCGGGAAAATATCCACATTGGTAAAAATGCATTTCCTTATAAAACGCTTACCATAATTTACTGTTCTTATTGGAGTCAGCAATGTGTTTCAACTGATAAGTAGTTTGTTGAATTCGTTTAAATGAACATAAGGGTCCTCTTAATAGATGATAATATCGGTTTAATTTAAATATAGAAATCGAATCGGTAATTTGTATTTTGTACGGCTGCTAAGGTTTGCCTTCATCGAGAAGTAGATGAAAACAAAAATTTTTTAGTTTCTTAATTTAAGAGTCATCTAATTTTCTCTTAACTTTTGCAAAAACATCGCGTTACTAGAATGTGTTTTGTGCCTGGAATTTTTAGATTGATAATCTTTTCAAGTTCAAAGTTTTATTGATATCACGAATCGTCCCAAGTGGGATGACCTGAATGGACTTGATAGTGGTTTTTTGTTTGTGGGACTACACACTTTCAACAACGGAACCAGAAATTGAACTCAGAACCATTGGTCTTGCGTAAGAAAGTACAACCTATAGACTATCATAATACTTTGGGAATAATATTTTTGACTTCCTAACACTATATGTTGTACCATATTAAAATAAACAAACAACTATATACCTTAATATAAACTGTAGCAGTAGAAAGCATATTTCATTCAGCACTAATATTTTGTTCAAATGATTTTTTTGTAGGTGCCTTATCTAGAGTCAGCGTTCATATAAAAATATACCTGATACCATGTTGCACATGATCAATCGAATAGAGACTTTTTAAAACATTCTTACATCAGTATTCATCTTTTATGTCAAAACCAAGAGTAATTAAAGACTTATCCACACCGACGGGTTCAACGATTGCTCGTCAACCCCTTGGGGGATGTGAATATCCCTCCCAAAGGGCTGACTTTGGAACAAAAAATATTGTATATTCACATCAAACAGTTCCAACAAAAAGCAGCAATATAAATCAACCCCCAGTATGGATTTCAACCACTTCTCGTCCTGGAGTGAGTGGCTTCAACGCAATGTCTCCAAGAGGGCGGCGTACTCTTTCCCCACCCCAACCTCCACCTCTACCTCCTCCACCACCTAGTCCACAACTTGTGCCTTTAAAAGCTCGTTTAGCAAGATCCAAATCAACTGCTACAAGACCAGTAACTACTCGTCCGGATTATTGCCAAAGGCTTCGTAAAGCTAGTGATGGTGGAGCTCCTACACGCCTTACAAATTCAAGTTCAGTTCGTACAAGATCTACCTCAGAATTACGATCAAGAGTCGAAGTTAAAAATGAACCTTTAGAAAGTCATACAGGTAATTTACGAATCGAATATTTTCAATAGCAAATCCTTTCTGAATTAAGTTTGTGTTGTTTTTAGAACATAATTTCATGTCGGACTAAAGCTTTTAGTTTTATGACTGAAAACCCTAGATAAAATAGATATTTTTTATTCATTAATTAGTACCAGTTTCCATCCAATTTAATCCCCTCAAAAAACTTCCAATCTACTTAGCTACACCAAACAAAGGATGGTAGGCCTGTAAAACGATACTTCAATTACCACTTTTCTCAAAAGAGTTAATTAAGCCCACCAAACTTGTCTAGTCTGCTCGTTTGAATAAGGATCTTAACTATTAACAGAAAAATACTTATACACTGAGCAATTTAAAGTGAGCATATGAAGTCAAGTTTAACCAATTATTTGAATTAATTGAGATTTAATAAGTGACTTGACCACTCATTATGCGACGTATAATAAACTAAATATGCAGTATTCGAGTCGTTTTAATCATTAAAAGTCACTCACTACATCTGAGTGTTATTACCTGAATAATAAAGGTTTTATTAGATTTATTTTTTCCGTTCTACCTAGTTTACTTATTCAAGTGTTAGTAGCCTATATTCCTATCTTAGTCAGATTGTAGTTCTTGTCATAAAACCTTCATTGACACGTATGTACTGAAGATACTGATAAATAAAATTGGACCCATGTTTATGTATTTAAAATTTAAGTACTCTGGTTGTAGTGAAATAAGCAGGTTTAACGTTGACTATTCTACATTTATAATTCACGAAGTTACTGTTTTTCCACAAAAATAATACCCCACGCAAATCTATTAGAAATGAGGGAAACACGGTAATGTTTTGTAATTGGTTACGATTGTATTTGGTTCATCACAATTTACACTATCTGTAGTTCTTGATTTCTCTCATTAAATTATGTTGGGTCCATTTATATCATAATTATCGTAATTGAGGGATATCTTAATAATTGATATATACTATCTTTTGCTCAAAATGACAAATTCAATATGCATTTTAGTTGGCAACAGGAATGACTAAAAATAAATTCATCAACGAGTATTAATTCTCATTAGGTTCTACTCACTAGATTGCTGTACAGTATCCTTAACTAAAATAATTTCCTTATAGTTTACATTTGATACAATTAATTTGCATGGACGTATCATTTTTAATGTCATATTTTGGAAAATGTTGGTAAGTGTCTAGTCAAACGGTACAGAATATTTTTATCTAGTCAGTTTTGTTCAAATTTTTAAAATAGGAATCGAAAATCTTTTCATTGTAACTGTTGAAAATGTATTTTAAATATGCTTTTCTAAAATTTAACTATTTTAGGGCGTGTGGAATCAAGTGAAGAAAAACCAAGTGTGTCGACATTTAACCCGAGTGCTTTCCTTCCTATTGCTCATCCTACTGAACGTAGTCCTGTTTATGTCTGCCTTGCCAATGTTGCCTTTTTAAGTTTATCATTATTGGTTACTAGTATCTTTTCTATTATCTTTCTACCATTTTGCCTGATTGCTTGCCTTGTAAGACGTACTGGCATCTGGATTTTTAATGTCTTCCAATATACCACATGTTGTCAATGCGGAGGATTTCTTATTTCTAATAATACAAATCCTATAATTGAATCAGTAATATCACGTTTATCAGTCAGCTTAAATTCCAATAAAAGATGTCATTGTTTTACTGATAAACAATTAGAAAATCGTTATGGCAACTCATTAAAAGCTCTTTCATCTGCTGAACTTCGATGGCTTCCAGCTCTTGAATATAAATATGAACTTGATTGGAATGGAACTAACTGTGCTACTTTGTATTGTTCAAGTCATTCACCTACAGTGATTATATGCTTGAGATTTGGTGCACCGGGATTAAAATTAGCACGATTGCGTGAGTTGATCAGTAACCGTTTACTTTCTCGGACTTCTGATTGTTCATCAGTTGCTTCATCTCCAAGGGGTTCTTGTTTAACAGACAAAGGATATTCAGGTACTAGCAGAAAACGCTGTGAAAGCTCATATATTCCACCTTCGGATGCTCGATCACGCTTGACACAATGTCTAACATATCTATCAACTGGATATGCATGGAGAGAATGCATGGCATTTCAACTTGAAGAACATGTAGTTCGCTTGTCTTCTATTCAGACAAAATCAGAAATTAATTCATCACGACCATATGGATCAAAGTGGGAAGATAAGCACTCGGCAAACCCTAAGATGGTTAACTTGGAAGTGCTTCTTGATGAACTGAGTAGTCTACCTTTAAGACTTGATCGGCCACTTTGGAAGGCTCATTTAATGGAACACTTCTATGAGGTGGGATAATTATTATATTTTAAAAATGCATTCGTAAAATTCATTTTTAAAGAATTTAATGTTTAACAGTTTTAAAAAGTATTTTGTTGCAAATGAATTGTTTGCAGAATATTTAAAGACTGGATTTTCATTTGAAATCGATAACTATTACTAAATAGCTCTATTTGCCAAAAAAATTTACACGTTTCATGTAGTGTGGAAATTTTGCAATATTTATTTCGAAATATACTTGGAACTTTCCTTACTTTTTGACTTAAAAAATCATTTTAAATGTTTTCTGTCAGGTTAATTGACTTAAATATACTGACAGATAATTAAGAAAAGTTGCAAGTGGTTTAATCTGATCATTTTTAATTTACTTTCTATAAATCTCCATATCAGGGTTACTTCCAATACGTAAGTAAGGACAAACTCTGGTAATAGTTATGTCAAATTCAGTGAATATGAAGTTTGTATTTATTTACTTGTTGAATTTACTCATTAAAAATATCTCTGAGATCATATCAATCCATTTATTAGTCAAACTGTCAGTTAAAATAAAAAAATCCTTGAAACTATTTACTATCATTGTTATTATCGTCAGAAATTCAGGATTAGTAAACTATAGGGAGATGCTAATATCCTCTTTAGTTTGATATTTACTCAGGCCTGTTTTATTTATGACAGACTAAATGATTTCATAAGTACTAAATTCAGAAAACAATACATCATGTTGTATAATGCTTCACTAGTATAACAATATGTGCAAATTTATGTAGTTTGTGTTATATTTTTGTGTAGATTTTGTATTGACAGTGTCATAAGAAGAAATACTTCAAGTGACCAAAACAATCAGTTAGAAACGCAAATTCAAAATTGTATTATGCTATAACAGTGTAATAATGTTGTAGCAAATTTTAGATCTTACAAAGAACCTGAGACGATAAGTCACTCTAACAGGTGCAGTAAGCTGAACTTCGTGTTATTTCTAATGTTCCGATAAATTTTTGTTATTTTCACGGTCAGTTTGCTTGTGTATATTTTTTCAAAACAATCGCTTGTACATTTATCGGGTTATATCACTACATTTAGTCACAACTTCTTTAATGTCCATCTGGATACACGCATATAAGATATTTAGGTGTGTTAAGTTTAAAGGAATGCTAGTGCTAGTCAGTGAACAAATTTTTCAGTCATTTAATATTTTAAAGAAGTATTTTCGATTATTTGCATAATCTGTGGTCTGATTCATTTGTGATATGTCTTCTTAACGGCTGGCGAAATCCACTATGCAAATGAAGAGTCTGAAATAAGTAAGTAGGTTTGGTTACTAGAACAGTATATAGGTCATGTTTGTGTATACGTTTGTTCTCACTGACTTAAGTCACTACCGATAGCCTGTGACCTTACCAGATACACGATCCAATTACGTTAGTAGCGTGATTCCCTTGAATTTATCACTTTGGCGTTAAGACAGCAAGTGGTGTATCGGACTTCTACATTATGTAATGTATCTAAACCCCTTTGGCCTATCACTTCTCCTTTGTGAGAATTTCTCGACATTCAGACGAAGTGAGAAAATGGCGTCACCTCTTCGTAAAAATATGTGCCACAATTGAAGTGCGTTAATTCTAGTGGAGGGGATTTCTTAAATGTTCTTTTTAACTTCTGATTCTCGTGTCAATTTCGAAATACTGTTTATTAATACAATCACTACCGTTCGAAGACCTACAAACGGAATCGAAATAAATTTTAAATATAACATAGACTAGGTTTATTGATGAGGATTTGAATGACTTTCCTAATTCGTGTCAGTCATCTTAAACTTGATGAGTATAATACACTAAAGTTTTATTCAATTATGATTATGAGAGCGAATTAGTATTTGTATAATCAGTAGGATCGGTAATATTTATTGTAAGTTATGATATTTCTTATTTTCAGACTCCCGAAAATGTTCTGTTTAATCAAGTTATTATCAAAGTAACTAAAAGCAAATTAGAGTGAGAAAAATCCACTCATTTTTAATTCCTAAATTTGTTTCAGGCTCCTTACTCTCCGATCATTCATGTAAACCAATTAACATATTCATATTTTCTAATGCAAAGAAAAAATGTTTA